ATAATGATGGGTGAAATCGGTGGGAGTAGATAAAGGTATTATGGGAAAAATTAACAGAGTTGTTCAGCGACTTGGAGATTATATCGAGGTGTGGTGTTTCAGACCGGATAATATAGGTGCAGAGAGAGGTACTGGGTGCAAGCAAATCTTTGAACGACTCTTTAATCAAGGAAATTGCCGAATGTTGACACTAAACTGCTAAAAAATGTATGCCACATACATCCTGTTTATTTTGTTCAACCTTTTCTATTCAAAGACTAAGAAGCTTACTTCGTATGAGCTTTGATAAGATAGGTAAGACACTCATCTTGAGTAAAAGATTGGTAGTAGAAGTCAGAAGCTCAGCATTGAAGACTGTTTAGTTTCTTCATTTTAAAATTCTGTGTCTTATTTGCTTCAGCTAGTGCCAGTGTAGATAAAAAACAATTAGAAAACTGCAGCTACATCGGAAGGGCAAATGTTCTTTTGAAGAATTTTGAATAATAATTGTATTAAGCCATCAAATAGTGTATTTAATAATTACGAGAAACCAAAAATACGCGATGATGCATTAAAAAGCTGTGCCAAAACTACAATTACTATTGCACGAATAGGCTACTTTCAATTTTAATAACTTGTGTCATCCTAAAATATAAATAAGCATTTGCATTGCAGAAAAATGGTGTCAAGTAGGTTGACTCTGTTCTTCCTGCAGGCAGGTACGATTTCACACAAAGTTATCTCTTGCTGATGGCCCTCCCCCTGAGAAAAATCCTGTGAGCACACTTGATCGAAACAATCATTATATCTCGTGTGGATGACGATCGACCCACAACCACAGCAGTCGAGAAGCCGTGGCCGACTGAGACGTACATGCATCGGCCGGACCACGAAGCTCGTGTTATAAACACGCGATGGATGGAAGTATTTCTGCATCATTCTCAGTTTTAAGGGTAAATGTAAGGGACAACCTATGATGAGGGAATCATCTAATAGGTGCGTAGAATTACCGTGGCTAGAGGCGTATAAGTATACCAACATGCAAACATTGAGACATATATGTATGCGTCCAAATAATATCCATGGACTAATTGTATGGGCCTGTTTGACTGACTTAATCCGTTTAATGTCTCTGTCATACATGTTCGTAAGTAAATTTTTTCTCACAGTGTCGAACTTAATCATTCATGAACTGATGACGGCGTTGCGTGGGAAGTGCAGAGCCCACTCACTTGATGTCAGGTAGCAAAGTAGAAAATGTGTATGGGTGTGTGAGCAGCGATTGTTGCTATAGGCCCAGACGTCTTTTTTATGACTCTTTAAAAGTGCTTAGTTGATTTTGCCGCACCCCTTACAACCATACAGCCAAAAAACGCAATTCTTCCATATTTTTATCATTTTTCCACAGTAACCTTCTTTCGAAAGTCATAAATTTGACAGCTCAGGAATACTATTTCTGTAACGTTTTAAGAATCCAAAGTATTCGGCAAGACAAAAATAAGCGGCGTCACCGTTAATTTTGTCTTCGGTATTCAAGGTTGGGACGCGGACGACTTTCGCCAAAAACCGTGCAAGTGTGCCTGTTTTAAACTTCAAATGCCAATTTAACTAGAAAAACCCAATTTATTTCCGGATCTTCATACAACATACATGCGGCGTTCAGAGCTGGCCACACACAGAAACAAACGCGGAGCGTGCTAATGTAAACATCTGCGTCCGAAAGCGCGTTATGTACGACGCTGGCGACGCCAGTGCGGCTCAGTCACAATACGCCGTGAGACAAGTGCATAGCGCACCGCCGGCAGTTGTTTTTTATGCTGCTGCTCATAGTTTTTTTGACCGTGAGAATACTGCATGGTGTCGCCGGGATATAGACGATATGTAGTGCCTTGTGGTGGTTTGTTCTCGTTTCGGTTTTTTCTATCTTCATGAGGAATGGTGCTAAGGATATGCTGTAGATAAATGACAGCTTTCGTAGAAATCTGTCGTTGTAGAATATTTTTTAGGTTCTTTTGTTAAAGAGCGGGCTGCCAAGTATTTGTCCCTAAGGTTTTATTTCTTTAAAAACTGTAAACATTCATGAATTGTTCAATGTAGGACGAACCTTAGTGCTTATCGCAGTATCTAAAATGTGAGACTACATCTTCTGATTTTTTTATAAAATAAATAGTGCGCCTAGCACATTGGTCACCCTATAATGAAAGAATATAATCTTTTTATTGGAATCACAACCATAAGCCGAAGTTGCACCCAACCTTGTTGTGTGAAAAAATATGTATATACAGTACAAAATAAGATATATACAAACCTAAAAATAAATACTTTGATTTGATGCTCAGCTGAGTTAACTAATGAAATTAAATCAACAAATCCACCCTCTGTCGGCTTAAGAAGGAACCAGATGCGAACCAGTAATGATTGGACGAAAATACAAAAAAAGCAAACAAAACTTTGAAACAATGCGATGTAATGCAAAGGCATATTAAGGTTATCATTATGCATCAGATCTCAAGATTAATGACTCATATAGTTATCAATTTACTAAGGAGATTAATAGGCTTATGAGTGCATATTATCTTATGCACAAATACCTTAAGATTACATTCAAACTGTTGACCTATTTTCAGCCTTTTCAACTCCTTAATCTTAGGCCGGTATCGTCAGTCATTCCTACAATTGTAGGACGCCTTTATGGCCTCCTTGATTTTCAGTCTTTTCTCTGCTTCAGAAAGGCTGAAGTATTTTGGAAATTTCAGGTTGATGTAACAGATGATATAAGCCAAAAGCATGAACAATTTGATGTAAATATATATTTGTAACATAACCTCAAAATAGAGCGCTGACACGGAAGAGTAGAAAACTATGAAAATCAAGGAGACCATGAAGGCGTTGTAGGAACGACTGACGATACGGCCCGAGAAGACATGACTATATTTTCGAAGACCATACACAAGCCTACAGCAGCTAATTTGCATTCTTCGGATTCTACACCGATTCATCGAGTCGAAGATGATGTAAAATCAAAGCATAGTTAACATGGACATTTTACGGGTTTTAAAATTTAAAATGAATCTATCAGCACACAGTAGCTTTAATTTAATGTAGGTAGTTTTCAGTTAATGATTCAGATATTTAGCTTGATTTAAAGATGACACCAAGATTTTTTACTTGTTCTACAACAACAATGATCTCATTGTTGATGGTCAATGGGATCCTGTCCCTTGCTCTATTTTAGAAGTGCTTAGGACAAAAAAGCATGCAAGTACTCTTATCAGGATTAGTCTTTAACATGTGTCTCTTAAAAAAATTAGTTACATTGGCAAGACCGTAATTTACTTTATATGACTTTTCATCGAAATGAGGTAAGTCAAAATGAAATGAGAGTTGCTTATCATCCGCGTAAGTTTGTATAGCATATGAATGTAAGTCGAAAGTATTAAAAAGAGCAAAGGACGTAAAACAGCTTAACTCATCAAAGCGGTATTTTCCGAGTTATAAAGTGTCTGAAGATTAGGGAACAGACACGTAGACAGACAGACCTTAGCTGTTCTCTCGATCAAGTATCATTTAGCCATCCCACCACCAGTCGGTATGTGTAACCAAGCAGTATGAATGCATGAGAAGTACAAAGCCGATTTACTTGACTCCATAGACGATGGAAGTATCGCAATTGCGAAAATATTATAACTTCAGTTAAGATGTTTTATGTTGTTTAAGAGTTTCGTAAGAAGGCTTATTTGTCATCATTTTTGTTTGTACTTAAAAGAAGCTGCCGACGCAGCCCAAACGTCAGAAAATCAATATTGGCGAGTTCATTCATGGGTCAGTGTAAGAGAGATGAATCAGAAAGATAACCAAAAGGATAAATTACAAACATTCAATCAACGATCGTGATTATGAATGCCTATTTGCAGAACCACGTATATATTGCACCAAAAAATTGCCACCAAATTTTCTGAATTTCTTTTTTCTTAGTCGGTATGCATCGCTGTGTCGATTGGGCTGGCAGCACGGTACAGTATACAAAATTCGTGTAAAAGCCGATTTGTAGAGGTGCTTCACTGATGCTTCATTTTAAAATATTTTCGAATGAAATTTGTACAGTGTGCTAAAAACACTCCGCGGGGTTTTTTCAAAGTACTTTCCCATCTTTACGAGCAGCTAAACCCTTGTAAATGGATTGAAACCAACTACGTCGCCGTCATAGCCTCCATAAGGTTGCTATTTAACGTGAACACATGAACAAGTGAAGGATACGACGTATTCCTAATTCAACCAAAATCCGAGACTGAGACTAAGGAAAGAATGTAAATATTTTTTTTAATTTATAATATATTGTAATAAAGTAGAACTTGTTTATGAAAAGGACCATGATAGGTCCGTTGGCAAGAAGAGTATCACCACCTTTTTCTTTAGTCCCCTGGTCCCCTGGTAGTTTCCAATTCGTTAGGTGTAGGTAACTCAGGTCTTTATTATAACTCCTTATTGTTTTATTATTATTATCTATATTGAGACTGGCTGCATGTCTTTATGTCCTAATGTTAATAAATAAATAAAAAAGTAGTACGATTTAAACTATGTGAAGTCTTTACGAGGACCAGGATTTGAACCTAGATTGTTTGATATCTCCAAAGATTGGTCGTTACTATAACTGCCAGCTTAGCTTTTCAACATTAAGGTTCCTTTTTTTTATGCGCGTAAAAGAGAGATCATTCACGAGGAACTGCATATATACCTACAAATCTAAAAACTCTTCAAAAAATCGATTCAATAGAACATATTTTGGAATAAGGTTCCTATGTACCTACTTCTACATAACTAGTGTAGTTTGAGCCGACAAAAATGGGTATTTTGGCGTAGGCCATTGCAAGCTTGCCCTGTCTTTTTCCCAGACAGTTTCTTTTCCAAATACATTGCCAATATTTTCTAATCACTATGTATAATATTAAATCCCTAATATTACCACGAATATTAGGATCTCACTTTTTAATCCTTTATGTCATCAAATAAATCTCAGTTTGATGTATTTCATTTAGTTCTACTGACTTGACATCATGACCCACATCCATGTTATTGGTAATGTCACCCATCAAAATGTTTATCGACGTGAAATGGTTCGATCACGATGTTGTGTACTATTATTGAAACAGTTCACATACTCTATATTGCAAAAACTGTTGGAAAAAATACTACCTTAATAACTACTTAAACGGTTGAACTAAATTACCTGAATAATTAGCAATTATGGTAATATTCTGTTTGCATTTTATACTAATTTCTCTGTCTTAATAATTGACCATGAAAATTGAACTCACTGAATGTTATTCAAAATGATGTAGATTCGGCTTTTTGCATATTTTTAGGTCGACAATAACTTAATCATACAGAGTTTGAAAGCATCCCATCAATCTTGAGGCCCAGCAATTATAGATAATTGTCTATTGCCACACGCAACTTTTGCTGCGATTCCAAAAATATTTGGGAAAATGAATGATGGTTGAGTTGCTCTTTTAAAAACCTCTTCATTAAACATCTGATATGACATTGTACCATATTTAGACTCATATTGGAGAATTGCAACTGGTTATTCCAAAATATATTTTTTTAATACGTTCTAATGCTTATTTTGCAGATACCACTTCATTGCTACTTTATATAGGACCACGATGGATTTATAAAAATACTTTTCTCAAAAATGATGTATGAAAGAATGATAATTCAATTGCGTCACCAATATTATCCGATCTCACTAATTTGATTTTAAACTTGGCATGAGAAGTACATCGTTTCTTTTATTCATAAGTATGAATGATTCCTTAGTATCTATACGTACATATCAACAGGTGCAATATATTAGCACTGTTTATTCAAATGTAGCAGTATTATGCAACACACGATGTTTATTATGAAAATTGATGTACTAAAATATGTTCACTAGACCATAGTCCGCAGTCCAATCATAAGGAATATCGCCATTACTTTCATAGAAATATTTAGGTTAAGAATTCTGTAAATACTTTTAGATATAAATATTTTTTATGATCGCGTATGAACTGAAATAATTAATTTTGAAATTTTCCTAAAATAGGTTTATTTTACAGAAGAATGTAAATGGGCGTTTAGTTTTTGACAATTGCATAAATCCAACAAAAAATGGCGTGTTCAATAGTTTCTATAATTCATCTTAGATCAAAGCAGAAAAGTAGCTAAGGTGGTACTACTTATGCAACAATATTATCGGAACATGAAGAACCGGTACTCTTACAGAGAACCATGCATTTCGAGACTAGCTGTCGAAGGATCTGATAGTCCCGGAATTTCGAGATCTTTCGGTTCAAATTGAGTTTTGGTGTTAAAATTAAGTTATCAATCAACTTCGACTATATAGTTTAGTTTATGTAAAAAACGGCATTTTATTTCACTTCACTTATTAATAACTATTATAAGGAACAATGTTCTAGTAAGGAGTTTATTCAAACTGGTACAAGATTTTGCGATTCAGGTCCTTTAGACCGGTTCGAATTTCCTGAAAATCTATAGATTTTCGAAACCCTAAAAAATGTAGACTCCTTTTAAATTACACATGGGCAAAAAGTCTAGCAGCTTTAGAATATCTCTTAAAACGTTTGTTTTTGAAAATTATCAAGATGACGGTCTAAAGCCAGATTTTAATGTGATACTCAACTTCTTCCTGGTGGTGGTGAAAAATAAAGTATACCGCTTCGATTTTCTGTGTTGAGGTTAAAATACAATCCTTATCTCATGCAGTATGGAATATTGATAGATGCAACTTTGCAATATAAGGTAACAAGTACCTACGCCTAGATATCCAAAATTCTACAGGGCGCTGCTTTGTTAACATAACTAAGCCAATATAAAAAAAAAACAACAGACTACTATTCGTCATTGTCTGTCAGAGCGGTCCGTAGGACCTTTGCTCTTGGTTGAAGTCTTGTAAGTCAGTAGGTCTGTCAGGTCTGGTTGCCCAGATACCAAACCAAGTCAGGGAGAAAGAAGGGAAGAAGAAAGGAAGGAAGGAAGGAGGGAGAGGTAAGAAAAAATAAGTGCATCAATATGAGGGGTGCCTTGGCATTGCTAGTTAGTATTCGGCAATTTTAAATTGATCCTAAAATTATTTTTGGGATTGGTTGTTGGAGAAAAATTATAATTTTGGTTGGACCTAAAGTCGCACGATTTAATTTTGTTCACAGTACGAGTCGCGGCCTTGTGTGCTTGCGAACTTGCTCGACTGTGTAGTCTACTGACTCGCGCAACAAAGGGTTTTTATGCGATTCTGCTTGACTGTAACGTAGCTGCGCTTGTTGTTTGATGTAGTCCCTTAGGTAAGGGATGTCAAGGTCTCTGTGAAGGGTCTCGTTGGAAACATACCATGGGGCGTTAGTGATTGTATGCAAGGTTCTATTCTGCAAAACCTGCAGGCTACGCAAATGCGTTTTGGCGAGAAAACACCAAGCCGCACTTGCGTAAGTGATCGCTGGTCTAATAACCATCTTGTATAGCCGAACTTTGTTGACCAAACTTAATTTTGATGTTCTACATAGCATAGGGTAGAGTTGCCGGAATTTAGTTTTTAACGCCTTCTGCCAGGTTATCCCCTTGTCAAGAATGACACCGAGATACTTAGCAGAGCTTTCCCATGGTACCCGAGCTTCATTCACTGAAACCTCAGACGGGGCGCCGCTACGTTTTTTAGTGCAATAGATTGCCTGCGTTTTCGAATGATTAATTTTGATCAGCCACCGATTCGCCCATTCCAATACCTCGTCCACTGCACTTTGCAGCCTGTCGTGAACTAGATCCCCAGAGCACGACTGGGCCACCAGGGCAGTGTCATCAGCATAGAGATAGGTTTCACAGCTGCTGCGGCAAGGGACGTCATGAATAAAAAGTGAATAAAGCACTGGTCCAAGAACCGAACCCTGAGGGACACCGGCTTTGATGGGCCGTGTTGTCGACAGAACGTTATTAATTTTGATCCGAAATTTTCTACCCTCGAGACAGGATTTCAAAAGTTTTAGGAGCCAGAAGGGGAAGCCCTTATGGATCAATTTGTAGAGAAGGCCCTTGTGCCACACCTTGTCAAATGCATTTGAGACATCCAGTAGCAAAATGCCGGTACTTTCGTTACGGGTAAACACCCTGGTTACTCGTTCAACAAGCCTTATGGCCTGTAGCTCCGTACTATGCTCAGACCGAAAGCCAAATTGCATGTCAGGAATCACATTGTGGTCTGCCGAGAAATTTTCAAGGTGACGTAGAATCATTTTTTTAGCTAGCTTAGAAGGAGCTCACAGTATACTAATGGTGCGGGGAATATCGAACCCACCTTCTTTGGAATCATTATGACATCAGCGGTCTTCCACGCTGTTGGGAAGTGCTGGGTCCTTAGCATGGCATTGATTATTGCCACGAGATAAGTTAAGGACTTCCGCGAAAGTAGCTTCAGCGCCTTATTAGTGATTCGATCCTCTCCAGGTGCTTTACGCACCTTGAGGTCTTTAATATGACCTTGGAGCTCTGCTGGTGTGCAATGCGGAGTCTCAGGAGATTCCGCTGATGTACCGTGCAGCTCTTCAATTGAGGAATCTTCTGAAGATTCCTCTGAAGAAAAATCACTAAGGGAGGCACTACTGCCACTGACGCCGTTGGCCCTAAAATATCTCCTGACGTATCTTACAATATGTTGCTCCTCGTCGAGGTCATTATCAAGGTCATAGTTGGGAGAGAACTAACTTTCCATTGCATCAGCGAAAACCTCGACCTTTTCCTCTGTCCTACAGACTATGCCCCTAGGACCCTGGATGTGCGGGAGTTGTTCTCGCTTTCTGTTTCTGAGCGACTTTGCAACTTTCCAGAGAGGAATACTTGAGTCAAGCATCCCCGACAGAAAGTCGCTCCATTGCTCATTACGGAATTCATGAAGAGCATTTCTCACTTCATGAACAAGATTCGTTGTTCTGTGAATGTCATCTGGGTGACAAGACCTCTTCGCTTGCTTAATTGCAGCTCTTTTGTCAGACATTTTCTGACGAATGTCTGTAGGGAGACAAACAACAGACGTGAGATGGTAATCGTCCTACGAGTGGAAATCAGCTGGGGTGGCACATTTTAAAGGTTTTGTACTTTCAAGAATAAGGATGCACCAAATAAGAATTTTGAACCAACATTTAGATGCACATATCACCTTCAGAATTAGCTGCCACTGGCAAATGAAATATCACTTTGACAGTGCATTTTCCAATCATTGCTGCTGGTGATAAGCAATATAAGAATCACAACTAACTAACTCACTGACCAATGGTGATATACATTTTCCTACTATAAACCTACAAATACTTATCTACAGCACGATAAATTTACCTGCAACATAACAATTGATGCGTTTGAAATTGATGATAAACGGCAAAATGTCAACCGATTGACTGCAACTAATCAGCAGTTGTGGCAACCTTGACGGAACGTTTAACATTTTTTAGTCGGTAAAAAGCAGTAAAATATAATTTGCAGTGTGCACCATAACCACAACTGGAAACAAATGTACAATGTACAACAATGGCCGACAAGCGGTTTATGTAACTGAACATGTGACTGTTTCAATTATTTAACTGCAGCTCAAATGTTAAATCGTTTGATTTATATTTAGGTTCTAGACATGCTGTATTGCAATATGTTCTTCAATTGACAATTTATGCAATAAGTTCTTCAATTGACAATTTATATGTATATTTTATACATTATATGTATATGTTAAACAATGATTCTTATGTTGTAAACAGGTAATAGGGAAGACCCGAGAAAGTGAACAGCTTAAGCAATTTTTTATCATTACAGGAGTATTAATGAATAAAGCATTGAGAAAAATAATTGAACTAGTTCTACATTTATCCATCTTCGGATATAGACATCGTACAAAGCAAATACATATCACAAACGATTACGAGCTAAATTTTAATCAAAACAGACTGGAAAACAACAATCAGTGTTCCTAAATACTGAACATTCATTATGCATCGAGAGCATCCTTATACTGTGTGGTCGCTTATATACCGCAGTTTTGCATAAATTAATTGCTTCTGCTTTTTCCCGAGATCCTTGACTTGTTTCTTTTCTATATTTGTATATCATCTGCAAGATGAGAAGTAAGGGTATGGATATATTTAGTATATCCACTTTGCCCTTTGGAACTATCCTGTTTTCTATAAAAACTTTCGATTGAGTCCATGTGATTTGTATGACTCTAAAAGTTCTTTAAACGTACATTGTATGTCTTGAATCGCCGATCATGGTATTGATATGAATCTGGATTTATTTTGCAAAATCAATCTTTTCCTCAATCACAATTTGTTGTCTGGTAGCCAAATAAGTAAGCGATCTCAGCTTCAACTGATTGGCGATTATTGAAGACTGTTCGATTCATTGTTTGTATATTTATTATATTAATAAAAAAGTTGTATACATTTGTTTTACCATATTATTTCATTTCAAAAATAAATCATAGAAATAAATACCATTAAAACTCACTACCAAATTAGAAAGTGACCACCATTACGTTGTGCCATCTCATTTATCTGGGAAGAGAAAACCAAACTCTAACATGGGAATTGCAGTCAACAATGGTGCTTTGTTTAGTTGGTGAAAAAAAAAACAGTTTTGCCATCGTACTACAAAAACAACGAGATCTCAAGATGAAGGACCACAATTTCTCATATAAAAATAATACTAATAAAACGTCTTTATGTGGATACGCAACTTAATGCATAGTGGGGACGCGCCCTAAGTGTCTAATCAAAGTCCTTAGACTAGTTTGTAGCAACTGTCGTCCGGCAATCATACTTCATTCCACTTATGGTAGTAACATCTAACGTAAATTGTAGTTAAATATAATTTTCACTCTGTTTATTTTAATATTATTCCAAAGAAGTTTGATATAATGTTACGTTAACGAGCTAACTGAATTGGAATGACAAATTAATGCTGTACGCAAACATTTATAGCTATCTATTTCTTGGCTGTTTATTTACCCAGCAGTAACTTACACCTTGTTTCAATGGTGAGTCTGTAATTATAAGAAATTGAATTTATGTAAGATCAGTTGCTAATATATAACGTAGTAGAGGAACGAACTCAAATTTTATTGCAAACAAGAAAAACAGAAAATTTTACAATGAAATTTGAGCTACATCAAGATTCATGATATTTGTTCCTCTTATGGCTCATAGAATTATCGACTATTTTACTGCCCCCTATATTAATAAAGAAATTTGAGAATTTATGAAGTCTTTCAGTAATAAGCGGCACGTGAAATAAAAAGGTGCCACGCTCCAAAGTATATTCCTCCTAAAATGTTATACAAATGAAACCACGTTACTGAAACTGCAAAGACGACAGAATTGTTGAGAGGCAAAACAAATATTAAAATATGTGCAAATTCAGGTTACCAGATTCAAACAAAGACATAATTGTAAAACAATCAAAATGAATCAAAAGAATCAACTGCACATTTTCAAATCCTAGCTAAGTATGCCAAAGTACCTCTCCACATCTTTACTCTACCCCTGCTCTTCCCTTTATTTTATCTTTTGCCCTCCAAGTATTTGGGAATCCAGATCTGACATACCTACCGAGACCTAGCAGGCTAACCAGATCTAGGGATCTACAAACTAAATTAACAATGTCTAGTAGAAAATCGTCGGAGTGATAATAATTTTCATGACTTAGGCCGGTTACAAGTTACAACACTTCTATTTTTAGTGAGACATTTGTCTATTCGAAATATCGCCAATGAAACTGAAATAACCATTGTGCAACATATACCACATCCAAAGATACAGTTCCCCATTCAAATTCTACCTCGACAACCATCAACGTTGGAAATAAACTAAATAATGTAAATTCTTAGAATGTTTTGACAACATTTCTGATACACAAATAGCTTAGAGAATAATGAACTACAAAGTGCTACCCGGCAACCCGTATCTTCCGATATTTTCAATAAAAACAGCAGTGCAACACCGCAACAAAATTTTACAGCCGGTAATACGGTCGGTACATACACGTTCACTAAAACCATAAGGCTATAAAACGTTTTAATGTGCCTGCAGTTATTTCGGGAAAAATCGGGAACAGGATATAAACATGTTCCAGATACTCGCTTGTAAGAACTATTGGGTAAATCTGGCGGGATAAAATATTGGGAAAGCGTATTGGAAAAATTGGGAAACCAATCGTTGGAGACATGTACATGGAGCCACTTATTGAAATTTATTTTTGTCATTATAGTTATAGCACAGGAAGTATCTTCGTATCTGCTCCCAAAAAATAATCTGATTGTTTTGCTTCCCACACCTACTGGCGAGGAAGTATTGTAATCGTGAAAAAATTCTAAAATGAGATGATGTTTTTGGATGTTATATGACGTGTACATCTCTAAAAATCATGCGACTCATTTCCGTCGGTTTTTCCGCTAATCTTTGAATCGCCTATAACTTGGAAAATATTGCCCGGATTTCCAAACAAAGTTATTACTATGGCAAGGACAAAAAAGCTTTATAGTTCTTTGAAATCGGTCCAGGGGTGGCGGATTTAGGGGCAAAAATATGAAAAAGAAAAATAAAATCGCTGAAACTTCGTTTGTTGACGTTTCAGAGGATCATTTATGAAAACATGTTTAGAGGTATTGTAGGGGGTGGGGGTATATCTCAAATTTTGATGTTAGTATATACGCTCCCAACCTTGGTAATTCTACTCACCTATTAGACATATTTCACACATCATAGATTTCTCCGCACATTTGTCCTTATAACTTTGAGAAATATTTATAGACGAGACCCGTAGTCGGTCGGAACGATTCATACGCCGAACCTTGCTTTGCGTCTCAGTCAGGCGTTCTGACAGGATCGCCGACAGGTATGTTATAGTATCGCGGCTGGCGCGTATGGCTGGTGTGGTCCAGCAGCGTTGCCAGATGGTCAATAGTAAGGGCCGTATCATCAGTCGTTCTGACGACAGGCGATATGGCAGGGAAGAAACTATAGTTAGCGTTGTAATTAATGGGGACTGTGGAATATGAACTTATTGTATATGGGAGTGTTTGGCCAACCTTGCCAATCTAATTTTTTGTTATACATGTTTGTAGTTATCTCAAAGGGACCAACTTGGGCCGATCATAATCATTTATGAACTTATTACAGCATTACGTGGAAAGTGCAGAGTCAACCTGCATTTTTTTTGTTACAATCTTATTCAAAAAGGACACATTTTAACAAACCTGCATGTTGCCAGTCCCAAAATTGTGCGAAAAATTGGTTGAACAATTGTTTAAGAGATTCTAGGAATTGTTTCTTTTTGCACGAACAGATGGGTGAGCGTGAGACCGATTGAAGATACTTAGCGTTAGGGGCGCCCGCCAGCCGCGGTGGACAAAATCAGACTTTTTGACATTTATGTTTATATATTTTGAGCGTCACTAGTTACATCTTGAACTTAATGTATGATGCTTGCCTGATTTCAACATTTTCAGTATCTTCCTAATGTTGAAGAGCATAGAATAATGCAATCTGGGTATTACAATGTCCGTCTTTAGATATTTTTTTGATTCTCGTGTCTCTCGACTCTCAGAATCGCACAACGTCGAAAAACAAGGTTTACTGACATTTTTTATTTTTCGCTCAAGACTAGTTCGGCTTTCAGAACCTGAACGTTTTTCGCCCCTGGTATAATAATAACGTTATGTCGTTTCATACATTTCCAGTGGTGCTTTCAAAGTTTCAGAGTGGCCAAGGATTATTGGACAGACAAAAATGCAAGATTACAAAAGTACCCTCGTCAATGAACATGATAATCGGAAAATATTCTAGAATTGATTTTTAGGATTAGAAATCCACCTTTGATAATATGATGATAAATATTCATTGTAGATAGTTATACCAGGTTATAAAGCCAGTTCAGAAGTATACGTTGTTTCTTTAATGTATGAGTTTATGTACCTCTGTGATTGTAAATACCGTTCAATCTTTATTTACTGGAAATCAGTCCTCGATTCATACCATTACACCAAGTGTTGGCATGATTAGATATCCTGTAAAGTAGCACAAATAATTAAGAATATGTACTTCAGACCATTGAACTAATTGGTTGAATCTGTTCTTTATTTCAATTGAATAATTTGTGTCATTATACATGGCTATAGAGGCTCCCACTTTCTGCTTATTGTTTTTATCAAGGAGTTAGTTCGTGATTCAAACTAAATTTTTAATGGGAAATGACGTCTGGGAGCAGAAAGTGCCTTTTTATTTTTATCAATATCCGCACAATTATCAATGCTAAGTTGCTGATGGTCATGCTTTCTTCCTATAAGCTTTGTTATCTTCATCTATATATTATGTTATCATATATATAGGATTAATGATAAAAGGAATAGGTATTAGATGCAAGTTTGACACTACTTGAAGTGCGCTTTATTGTGAGCTTCATTTAAAGGTATTTTTGTTTTTACTTCTTGTGCAACTGGCGAGAAAGTATTGTAATCGTGGCCACTTCTGATCATATTCAGAGACATTTTAGTAGGGGTTGAAAATACGGGGTTGGGGGTTGTAGGGCGTAGAGTTAATGACTGTTGCATATTTTGTATCACTCTCAGATGCTTCATTATCTAGAAACGTGTGACCTTGGTAGTATTAATTACCTGTTAGAGTTATCACACATATTTCCGTCTGTGACTATGGCAACACCAGTTACTCTGGTTACTTGACTTTTTAAATAACAATACTTTTTTCACTTATACTCATTATACTCTATGGCTTCATGTTAGCTTACAGTGACTATAATAGCTGATGGATAATAAAAATATGAGAGTGCGCGCAAAAGTTGACTATTGAAAGAAACTATACATGCTGAATATTCAAAGTCCATTTGTCCAGACTCCGTGCGGAGTACAGAGTCAATCTACTTAATGCTTTTTTCTGTTTTATAGTAAAGATTTCGAAATTGTTCATTGTTCATCGAAATCTGTAACCTATGTATAGTAGGTTGAGTATTACTATCTATAAAACTTGACCGACAAATCAAAATGACTATTAAGCAAACATACGTCAATGACGGTTCTTGTAAATTACCTCTTGGGCTCGCTACTTTGCTTGGTCTACTCTTAAACTGTTTTGGCTATATAATTAACGGTCGTATAGTTATAGATGGTAAATTATTGTTTGTTAACTTTATTCACAAAACACAATATATACTAAGAAAGATTATGTACGTATGGCAAGGTTTTTTTTATTAGAACTTCGTATGCATAAGCTACATAGGTCTTGGAAATATAATTATATTATAATATAATTATTGCAAATTTTTCTAAAACCAGATATTATGTTTTTTTTTTGATGTTATATGCCACGTACATTACGAAAAGCCATGTCACACATTTCCATCGCTCTGTTTGTCCAATCTTATAACCGTGAATAGATTGAGAAGCACCGCTCGGATTTCGATTAAGTTTTTACATAGTGCTACTACTATGCCAAGCTTTGCAGTTTTTTTAAACTCGGTCCAGTAGTGGCGGAGCTAGCGGCAAAAACACGAAGAAAATGAAAACCGCTCGAAATCCGTTTTTTGATGTTTCAGAGGCTTCTGATCATTTATAGAAATTTTTCGTAGGGGTTGAAAATCTGGGGTTGGAGGTTATAGGGGATGAAGGAGGGTATATATCATTTTTTGGCAGCAGTATGCAGAACCCCATTAATTTTACGCATCTATTACTACACTTTGACACATCATAGATTTCAACGTACTTTGCTCTTAAATCAGAGAAATATTTATAGATGCCACACACTGTCTGCGTATCTGCGTCTGATTGAATCTGACTGCATCCGCGGTTCTCCCTCGTTACTATACTAGCGTTGTCAAATGGGACTTTTTTGTTATGCATGTTAGTAGCTAGTTCAGAAGGACTAAGTTGTGCCGAAAATAATCGTTTATGAATTGGTAACAACGTTGCCTGGGAAGAGCCGAGTCAACCTACTTGATGACATTTTTATTGCTACTCGTGTTGACTGAAAGCCTACATTAACAGTGACCGATAAATTGTATAAAATCTAACGTATTACTTCATTTTGTTCTCATGTAATATAAAAAGCTCAGTTGATTTTGCCTATATAAATTGACATAACAAAATGTTAATCGATATACAAAATACGAACCTAAAAAACCTGTTCATACTAACTCCATAAATTTGAATGAGCACGTGTCGTTTACGTCAAAAATCACCTAAAATCTAGTGGAATCATACTACCTGCTTTCAATGAACTTGTTTTCCAATTTTAACACGAAGACAAGCAGTAAAATTCTCCAAGGCATTCAACTATTTTCTCGATTCATTTCTGATACATCAATGTGTTATTCATGACACTGTTTGTGTACAGACATTTGCCAAATAAGGATCATTTGGGAATTTGAAATTCAAATGAGGTTTGATGCGCATCACGAGGTACAGTTTATTTGTATTCCTGGCTGTGTTGGAATCCACGTTGTGTACGACTAGTGTCAATTTCTTGTGAAACTTGGTATCACTTCACTATAAAATATTGGAAAAATTTTCAAATGATGGTTCTTCCAACTTTTTGATAACGGCATAATATCAGTGCTATTCTACTATGTAGGGCAATCTTCTTCTTTCCATTTTTTTTTCTCTAAGGGCATGTGGCATTTAGTTTCCACATCCTTCTCTTTTCTGATTCTCCTCCTTTGCGTTTTTATACTGTATTCATTGTTTCCCCCTTGACGGTATACATATGTTTGAGTCATATTTCCTACGCTATGCTATGTATATGTAGCTACCATTTTAATGCACTGTTCTCAAGGTCTTTGCAAAAATGATTTGGACAATGCCTCCGAAAATATGATTTTTTTAATAGTCTCAAAGTTCCTGTCCCATGTAGTGCTCGTGCAGTGGTGATTACTATTGTGATAATTGATATCATATATTTAAACGCATTCCAGTACTTTATGATGTTAAGACTCACAAGAAGAATAATAGAAGTATTTTATTGACTTGTGTCAACCGCGACGAAAATATGAAGTGAACTGACTGACTGACGATCAATTTAATTCCTTTGTTTTATGTGTTTGTAGTTAACTTTTTTCTGAGGTGGGCTAACTTGTGCCGACCATAATATTTTATGTACTGATGATAGCATTATGTGGGAAGTACAGACTCAACCTACTTGACGCCAGCTTTTCATATCACTTCTGTTATTCTTTATTTTGCACATATGGTTTATGATAAATCTTGTCACAAAACTAGGAAACATAACACCTTCAGATGTTAATTGCAATATGATAACCTTAAACCAGCTGACACTGTTGACCTGGATATTTTCTGCAACGATGATATCGCATAAAACATAAGTTTTAACGCCGTTATCTAAATAAAAACTGATACGGATTTATAAAAACTATATTGATAATCCCTTAATTTTTGGCGTACAACTAATCTCTATACCAACAAATTTATGTACCGTCTGGCGGTGCACTTGCAAAACCAAATTTACTCTGTGTTACGTTATACGGTTCACTTCCTAGAGGTTAAGCAAACATCAGTGCAGTGGTGGAGACATAGGTGGTTGTCTGTTTAATACCAAGCCAAATACGAAGACTAAAACGTCAAATTTTCAGTGAAGGTTTCCTATGGTATCAGGAACATCGTAAGCGTTTATTCAAGCTATTGAAAATCCTACATTATCGTAGAATAGAGTTTTTCGATTTGGAAGTAATATTACGTCACTGATTCTTCAAGAGCTAGGTGCCATTTCATTTATCGCTAACGAAAAAGCAGCATTTTTTCTTCTCTAGGTTCTTTTCCTTGGACATACATATCGCCCTCATTAAAAACATGGAATTGATGATTTGAGGAAGAACACATTTTAGATAACAACAATTTTGACATATTTAAAATCATGAGTTAGCACTCTTCCTGGAAAACATGATGAAGGCGATGTCATTAAGAAACGACATTCCGGTTTTTGAGAGACCTTCGCAGTCAGAGAGGAGAAAGATTGGGCCATTGCAAGATAAACAATCCTTGTATAGATTAACAATCATTAAATTAAATTTTTGTTATTAAGATGTTGATTGTACCAAACAGCTTTGTTGTCCTGCATATTTGAAGCAACACTGCAATAATCTTCGAAGAATGAAATACTTTTTGAGGAATAAACCAAAAGGGATATAGTTTTTTGAATGTTATATGGTATGTACATGACGAAAAGTCATGTCACTCATTTCCGTCGGTCTGTCTGTCTGTCCGCTAATCCTTAGACCATATATAACTGCTTGGATTTGGTTGAAATTTTCACACAAGGTTACTACTACGAAAAAGATTTTTAGTTTTTGAAAATTGGTCCAGTGGCGGCAGAAAAAAATGTCAAAAAGGAAAAAAAAATATAAATCGCTCATCCTTGGATTTTGACGTTTTTAAAGAAAATAGGGCTGAAAAATTGAGAGGTGTTAGTACCAATAATACACTTCCAGCCACGTTCATATACGTCATAGATTTCCCTGTACATTCGCCCTCAAAACTTAAGAGAGATATATGTACAGACGCGAATTATGCCTCAGTCCGCGTCTTCTTTTACTTCTTTTACTTCTCTGATCGTCTATATTCATATCCACTAGCCATTCCTCTAGTAAAGTCACCGCACGCCTCTGTCGGATGATAATAAAAAAATGACGAAACCACCAAGTAAATTTTATCCAAATATTGCCAGTAGACTTTACTTGAACACATGAGACGAGATGAATTGAAGGTGACGAGAGGTGTTGTGAGTGAAGAACGATGCAGGTGGTGTCCGTGTAAAGTGCGGTGGTAACCAGACCGTGTGTTTGCTCAAGAACGTGGCGCGTGTTTATTTTTCTGGCGTACGTACGTCAAGATGAAGTCGAAGAGCAAGAGCGAGAAAAGGGAGCTAACTAAGCAGGAATTGGAGGAGATCAAACAGGTATGAAGCAATACAAGGCTGCTCAACGCATAAAGCTTATGCAGTGCGCATCAGAAAATATAGAGATCCTAGATTCTATATGATAGAAGATTGGTCAAATGGAGGCAACTTCAGAAAGCTGTTTCATTTGATTGATTTTCTCTTCACAATTATCCAAGCTAGACCGAGACACACCATTACTAGTGTGTGGAAGTGCAATTAGTTATAATCATATCATGTCTTTTACTGAAAAGCTTTAAAACTTTAGGCTCTTTTATTATTCAGAAACTTATTAAACTAACTTATATGATATGAGCAGATCTATTTTTATCTTTCGTGTTGTGCAAGTATGAAATTTTCCTACCTTGACACATATCAGGCATTCCAACATTTGCCATGTAGGGAAGTAATCAATTAGTATTTCCCAGGAGGGTGAACAATTTTAGTTTTTTTGTCATCTAATTGATTCCCACCCAAATCTCTAAACAGTAAAAAAGGCGTATAACACTTTATGTTTATATTTGGCAGCGCGGATTGGTCGTGCTACTGAGTATAAAGCCGCGTACAGACCAAGATTCCAACGCAAGCCAAGGCACATGTAGTTACAAATTTGGAGGTGTTAGAATCGGTGCGAGCAAACATAAGCCAACGGTTTCCAAGACCGGCGTTGGTGTTTCGATTGCGTTCGCTCCTTGATCGGTACATCCAAGGGAGGTTTGATTTGGTCAGGGCAGGATTTGTTGCGCTTCTAGTATTTAGTCGTTGTCTGCATTCGATAAGAGGAGACTCGACGCTCGACATTAGCACCGAACTTAACTCAACGCGGTCCAACTAGAAACTAAATTTAGGTGTAGATGAGCGCATTCCAATACCTTCCAACAATTGGATTTTCGATCTGTACGCTGCCTAATAAGAACCAACACTTTATTTTTATCGGTAATGCTGCTAAAGGCAATATTTAAACCAATCATCGCAAAGTTGTCTACAGTTAGCTATGTCGATATAAACATCATATACAGGGTAACTAGTAATTCGGCTTGGTTTATTCTCCACTAACTGTGTGACAAAAACAAGTAGTTTCCTGAGTATCCACATTTTCAGACCTCTTTCGATCTATCTTACACGTCAACGTAAAATGATTATTACGTTTTAGGCAATATAATAATTATCTTCTGGGAATTGATGCACTAGCAATTACTTTTAAAACGATTCTGGCTCAATATTCTCAACATCGCAGGAAGTTGGTTGCTATTTAAAGCAAATCCGATCTTTTACGTATAATGCGGTGAAATTGATCAACTCTTTCGAACAATGTTTCATCAGCAACTTTTCTAAAAAAAAATATAAGAACTACTTATTGAGCTCTTAGGTTATTGTCTTCTCTTTGAATCGTACGTATTATGTTTTTTGTTCTAATCGTACGTATTATGTCATATTTATTAATTCTTCTTTTACTATTATTCTTCTTTTTCCTTTTCTTTTTCAGTTTTTTATTTTATTTTTAAGGTAGTAATAAGCATTGACATGACATTTATGGTTAAGCATAAATGGCCATTGGCCAGACTTCGCCATTTGTAAGGATACATAATTATGTATGTGTTACTATAAAGTCCATTGAATTGAATTGAATTGAATTGAATTGAAATCCAGAGAAATAAAGTCTCGTCACTTGAGAATCTTTATTTCTGCGATAGTGAAAACATCAGTCCGAATTAGTTCTAAAATGTTTGCTAGTAGATACGCTCTGAGAAGGGTATCAGTGAGCTATCTGGAAATTAAACTATTTTGTCGACGTTTTCTTTCGGTGACATTCTCAAAAAAAATTATCAAAATGTTGATAACTAGGAAACCGCTTATTTTTGTCTCCCAGTTAATGGGGGTTAATTTGTTGACAATGGTCTCTAGGAAAAGTTCAAATTCCCAATCACCCTATATAGCTCCTAAATGGTAGTACATCAATATCCATCATTCTAATCATAGTACGAATGATATTATCAGCAATATCTGTTTGATTCCAATAAAACTTCGTAATACACATATAATGCTCACTAGAGGTACACAATTTGCAGTAAAAGGTCTAAAACAGCTCACGTTTCTTGTATAGATATGAAACGAGTTAATTTGCATAGTTTACGGGAATAAAACCATTTGAGAGAAAAAAATGTTAATCGCATATACTTTGCATAAAACTATGAATACCTATTTAATATGGTAAATGGATAAACAGTTGATGGAATGAATTGTTGTAAAATATTCCGTAATTTGTCAATACCGGAGGTGAAGCTGGTTGCAAAATTTTCAATATGTACTGTACGATTTTCTTATCCGGTGTTCAATAAATTAAAAGCACAGAGCTTTCAATACATAGAAAAACTAATTCTACCACTGTAATGCAGTGTTACTAAGAAAATGAACAATGCGTATGTGAAACAGTTCTGCACCATGTAGTTCTGCACCTCATAGCCACACTAGGTTAAGTCCAAATAAGTAGTTTTGAGATATTTGTGTCTGCAATATTTTTCTTGCCTTGTACTGTATGAAATTTAAAATGATTTATAAAGTCGCAACCTCCTTATTATTACAGGTAGGTGGACGCTGTAAGTAGCAAATGAAAATTCGCAGTATTATCATGAACTCGACATATAAAACTCATTTTAGGAAAAACATCGACTTAACCTTCACATTGTCTGTTTTCTGCAACTTTGTATAGTTTGGTATATTTTCTAGAAACTAAAACTCTTTGTTTTGATATAGATTTATCATCAGCATCTATCGAAATATTGCATATAAAGTATATCAAATGTTCGATGTAGAATGAAATCAAATGTACCTTATTATCTGAAAGTCATGTTTGTATGTACTTGATTTAAATACTACTTAGACTTAAGCTTGTGTCAATGTTATTGGCATGATTTGAAATCTTGTGATATCATGTTGCTCATTGTTCTTTAAAATATAATAATATCAGCTAATCCTACACTATTACGATTTTGATCTTTCCTACGTCGTTCAGTTATGTAACAAAAAACTGACAAAAACCTTCATATACCGCGCGTTACCAGTAGTTCAACCATAGACCATAGTATCATTGAGCTGAACATGAATGAATATAGTCTAAATCACAAAAGATGACTATTACATCATGCCATAAATTGGACTGAAGTAATCAATGCACGTACGTCAATGATAAAATCACGATGTCAGGAACATAATGACAACACATTTATATTATAATTTTGCGAAGTTAGGTTATTTTACTGATTATTTTTATTTTCATTTTATTTGATGGTTTTGAGTGATGCCTTAATAATAATTTTAGTAGGGAGTTTTTGTTTTGAAAAAAAACAGTTATGAGTAGAATACCTTAAGATAGGAACACCAAAGACCAAAGTATTATTAGAAAACAACCTAACCTGCTTTAAAATAACCTAACTATTCGTCTGTCAAATATGATCGATCATGCAACATGAAAACATCGTCTATCTTTGTCGGATACATGCAAATTAGCAATACGGTTTGTTTAGAAAATACAGTTCTGTTTGTCTCTGTTTAACATATCTGAAACTACAATGAAAATATTCACAAATCGCTGTCGTTTGTCTTCACTACAGACTAAAATGATGACGTAATCGTCATCTATCATGATTTCGACTATAGCGACCTGACGCCATAATTATCACTTTGGAACTAGCTATCACTCACTATGGGAGCCCAATAGGGGATTTTCGAATTTACTCGCGAGCGGCAGATTAACATAAGGAGGGGATACCTTGCATCCACTTAAGGGGGTCCTTTGGGCATACATCTACAGCAGCCAATTAGAATAGTAAAAAAATCGATCGTTACACATATTGGAGCGCGTCAGACACATAAGGTGAGTATCTGACGATGTGAGTGTGACTTAAGGAAGTGAGGGTCACAAACTTGTAAAAAAACCGCCATCTTGACATTCTCGAGCACGGTTATCCAAATGGTGCTAAAAAGATAGCAAATGTGAAATTTGTGAGATATTTACAAGATTAATTGCATTTTAGTATATTTTATAACCTATATACTTACCGTTGACGCGTTGCTTTGTCTGGAAAGATTCGCTTTAAGATAATATTATTGTCGGCTGGCATTTTAAGTAGCCACATTTGATTATTTCACATTCTTATGCAGTGTATTGATTTTAAAATATTTTATTTATCGAATCCTAGTGTGGTTGAGTCTAGTAGACGGTTCGACCGCTAGTTATTTGACATTCGACACCTAACATCAAATTTATGGAAAGTACCTAACCATGCCAATATTTTTTTCAAATTATCAGATTAACATAATCACTCCAAATAATCGTTAGATTATGAGTCAGCTCGACTAGGTTATCTAGTTGAACAGTCTCTATAAGAATCTATCGCACTCAAGCATTTTAAAATTGCGATTTTTGCTTTCTTAAAAGTCCACCATGACCTTGCGTCACGTTCGAATTGTCTTTATAATGGGAGCTTTTTTAGGGTTCACTTAACATGCCCCCTGAATATCTGACGCGCACGATTAAATTTTATTTGTTGTAATATTATATCCTTCCGTATAGCCACTCCCACCAAACAAACCGGCCCATGATTATACCCCTGTGACTCTTTTTTTCCTATTATTGAAAACCTGTAGGCTCTCCTCCCACCAGTAAATGGTTACATATCATAGAACCTTTTTTTCTTTTTACTATTTAATCTTCGAAACCGTACGTCTCTACCACCTCGAGTAACTTCACATTTAGCCTTCTTATATCCACAACTCCTACATGTTCACTTGTGATAGCTGTGAGTGTTGCCTGAACGTCAAGATACAGTTATGTGCTCAGACTCTGACATAATGTTCCATCTGCTCTAGAGATGGCAGTAGCGGAGACCATTCATAGTTTCTATGGCCTAAGCTGTAAGTTCTATATTTCGTTGAGAAATTCCTCCCTAGGTGGTGTTCACAGCCAGTGCACATGGCCTGGAGTAGCGAGTAGCTAATACACAAGTGAAAGTATAGCCATTATAGCGAGTGTTTTACATAATATGGGTGCGGAGTGACATAGCGACATATGGGTTAGTGACTATAAATGCTAGCAACATCGTCATGACATCCTGAGAGGGAGGACTATGAACCTACCTATATGTACGCCTATGACCATTCCGCCCTCATTAAACGGTATGTGATGGTTTAATAGGGTATTATTGTGATTGTTTTACTGCCGTGTGTGGTCGAATCAAATTAGTTATTATTCAGATGTGATGTTGCGCACATATTGCCTATTCATAGCGACTCTCGAAGGTATTATAATAACGCGATTATGGCTTTGGCGGGACATTTAATAATTTGAATTACGGGCGTTGGTGTACAGCCGCTGAGTGAATTCAATCGCGTTTGATTTGCAACTGACAATTACATTCGCCATTTCCAATTGGGAGTAGTTTTATTACATATGAGATGCTTTCTAATAGAAACGCTTACTGGTAACAGACGTGGTAATAAAGCTCGTCCCCTGTCTAAGCAAAAAGATATCGGTTCGACTAGAAATTCAGAAACCTTATGAATCAATTAACTATAAACCTAATTACACTCATAATTAAAAATTAAAGTTCAAACCTGCAACAATTTCTCAACACCCCTTATATAGCTTTCAGTTAACTGTATTTCAACTACAGTCGAAAAAAGTTTCATATCGCCAAAGGCTAATGTGCAATTTTTATCAGCAAATGACACCTAAACTCACTTAGGCTAATTATATGCTGAACAGTCTGAGAGGTGACAACCGACAATTCGTTCGCATTAGAGACAATTTATTTACCTCTAGGTATTTCATTAAAGTCTAATGATAGTGCGGGAAGTGGTCGACTTTTAATTATACAATTACCAGATAGGGTCGAGGTGCAGGAAGATGGAATTTAAATCTACGCGTAATAGAATGCTGCTGACAGCTTGAGTAGTTTGTTGCCCAAAGAAGAATTTAAAATAGTGCTAATTATAGAGACTGTAATGTTACCTCTTGCATTTGCAGTCAGTGGCAATATGTTAAGTTGTTGATGAGTTGTTATACCATTCAAAAAATAAAGGAATGCGGTGATTTAGGTTAATGCCCAGCACAGATTGTTAGTATAATACAGATGATAATACTCTTTTGTATACTTTATTAGAATCATAGAAAAGTTCTGCTCAAAATTCAAAAAGATGTTTATACTGGGTTAACACGTAAAAATACCTATAACTATATCGATTAAAATATAATCCGCTGCTAGTGCTAATCACTTAAACATAGCTATTTGGAATATGGAAATCCAACGTACTCGTCCAATCATCGCTTCCAGCCGCAGGCATTCGTGACGGCCACTCTCCGGTTCTTCTGCTATTGATCTAGCTATTGGCCGCAATCTCTTTCTATCTGATAGTCACACAACAATACATGTAGATAATTATTAATGTATGTCACCCCAGACTATTGTACATAATGCACCAATGCCTTAAAGTCGATATATTATCCGTCTTTCATGAGAACCATAGTACTTCTGGGTACAAGGTAACCTGACAGCAGATACGGGGTTATAATCATAATCAATTCACGTAAGAAGTAATTGTAAATGCGAGAAATTTCGAAAATTATCATTATTTTTTGGACATTACACGACATAATAAAAAAACCAGTCTCTCATTTCCCTCGGTCTGTCTGTTTCGCTATCTATCTGCATGTCCGCTAATCTTTGGCTTCCCTATAACTTTGAAAGTGACACCTGAGCTAAGGGTAAAAAACTAAAAAAATAAAAGTCGCTCAAAGTTTGTTTTTTGACGTTTCAGAGACGTCTGCTTATTTTTGGAATTTTCTTTTTTGGAGTTATAAATCAGGAGAGGTTTGCAGCGGATGAGTAGTGTATATCTAAATTTTTGTACATCCTGAATCATTAAAACGTTGAAAATCTTACATATTTTATACAAAACTATGTTTATTATGCAACTAATTTTAGGAGGCAGTCGGATTCTCAAGGTTGCCAGTGCCAAGTTGTATGGGCCTATTTGACTGACTTGATCCATTGTTATACTTGTTTGCAGTTAACTTTTTATAAGAGAGACTGGCTTATGCCTACGATAATCTTTTAAGAAATGATAACAGCGTCGCATGGGAAGTGCAGAGTCAACCTACTTGACGTCATCCTTTTTCGACTTCAAACAGATATTGTCATTATTATTTCGTAATAAAAACCGTTTCATCTGGTATCAAAAAGAGCTATATGTTGAACGTTGAAAATCTTACATATTTTATACAAAACTATGTTTATTATGCAACTAATTTTATTAGGCAGTCGGATTCTCAAGGTCGCCAGTGCCAGGTTGTATGGACCTATTTGACTGACTTGATCCATAGTTATACATGTTTACGATAACAGACTGATAACAGGGTAGCATGGGAAGTGCAGAGTCAACCTACTTGACGTCATCCTTTTCGACTTCAAACAGATATTGTCATTATTATTTCGTAATAACAACCGTTTCATCTGGTATCAAAAAAAGCTATATGTTCCTCAGGATTGAAATAACCTATTGATTTTCAGGAAGCCGCCCAAAGATACACTGACACCAGCTGGAAAATATTCCTGCAAAACCGAAAAAACGCCACTCTACCCTCTCTCAAGGAGAACACAAATACGGAAGAATCGCATACAAAATCCGATACCAATCAATCTCCCGTCACAAATGGCATATCCGGGCCAAAGCAAGTGACGGTTGAAATAACCGAGTATGACGTCAGACGACCAGCTCCATTGGTTGAGATCGAAAGTACTCAAGAGTACGACAGCTCTTCGTGCGACATCTATGAAAAGGTGCGAAATGCAAACGAACCCAGAAGGGTGGTGCAAATAGAGAGGGTAGCAGTGACGTATGAGCCTCTCGAACGATACGATGGCGATGTTGATATGGTAAGCTATCGTGTGATCAAACAGTGGTCTAATACTATTTTTGCACCATTACTAACACCAAGGCTGAAGAATCGTATATCACTCTTTTTTTTTATACTTGCACCACAGATACATTGTGTGTTCTACTTGCCAATTTTGCACTACTAATATTTCTGGTTCTGTTCACGATGGCCTGGGTTGATATGTGTCTCAAAATTCACGCAAGATTTAAATTAAATAGAAAACACCGTTATTCGCATTTATATAGTTATTTTTTCACTGAACCGAAAGATTAGCTCGTCAAACAAATGCCATTCTCGTTCTTGCAGGACATACGTACTATTTTGTTGGAATTTTTCATGACCCTTTTGTATAAATGTGGATGAATTACGTTGAGGCTGCGTTAAATTTCTCAATCGATGCACGAGTCTCTGTAGGTTTATTGATATACTGCCGTATTTAGGTAAAACGCACTAAAATTCATTAACTACCTTCTTTAAATTGTGTAGCTAATACATTTCGTCTATGATTGCAATTACAAAATATAAAAATATATATATCATCACGTTATTTAACAAAAATAGTTAGTTTTTAACTTTGTCTAAGCATAAAATCAGTAAATCTATACATCACAGAAAAAGGTCAGTGGTCTTGAAACTATACTGTTTTCATTCTCTCTAAGATGAAAGTACTGTACTTTTACCCTTTTATAACCTTTTTCTCCGAAGAGTAATGTTGAAAAAATATTCTTCGTTTAACATATAAGAAAACACGCTGCTTTTAGTTTATTTATATAATTACGTTTGTTGAATGTAATTACCAAATATAAGCATATATTCATTAAATTGCATTACTAGATGTCGAAAAGGTTTACTTTTGAACTATTTATGTGAATTTCAATACGGATAAATTATATAAAAATAAAATGAAATTCGGCATTACTGCGCTTTGCCTGATTCAAATAGATTATGAAAACTTCGAAAGAAAAGCAGTACGCCTATTTGTGAGCCGTATAGCAGCAGAAAAAAATATTACTGCTTTTTAATTTACCTACCTCAATAATTAAAGACGGAATGTTATTTATTTTAGGCCTCAACAACAATTATGATCCGAATTCACATTTAAATGGAGTCATGTTACTTTGATAGATTCATTTACTTTTGCTCTATTTATTTAAAATCCAGAATTTTGAACTCAATTTTCTCAGATTTCGATTTTTAGACTTTAATCCCTTCTAAGTACGGCAGTATAGGTTTATTAGTTTAGATCTTCATCTCCAAATTACCCCATAAATGGAAATCAAACGGTGCTAGATAACTCGATCTAAGGAGCGATTATGATAATCGAAATGAGAGACCACGATTAGGAACTGTCTCATGCAGTAATTGAATTGCTTCAAGTAATCTGAGACATGTGTTATGTGTGATCTACATCAATATTCTGCAGTTTAGTCAAAGACCCGTCGATTGAAGAAGGAAATTCAACGCTGTATCAATTCAGCTACATTTATGCAAAATTGTCATGGAAAACATCGATAGAAGAATGCGTATGCGGCAGCCAAGCCGAAGGGGCCATTTGTGTGACATGCTATTCCATACATAACCCTACATTGTGTATAAAAAATAATCTAAAAGTAAAAGGAGCGTTTTATGTTTAATTCAAATATTGCCTGAATTTTGGGACACCCTTTATATGAGAAACTACTGGAACTGACATGATTTTGGCGATGTTTTTTATTTCGTAACCAGCGATGAATCGTGTTTGTTCCTCTTTTAATTTTGTTAAACCCTCTCCAGACTCACGCGCGAAGCTGCGAACTACCCGCGACCCACGAGTGTGGAGATCCCATTCGCGTGTTATTCCCGTTTGTTTCCGGTTTTTTGTCCCGCAACAAAGGGTTCGCAAGGCGCGTCGATTCCTCATTAGCTGGTGGCGCAGTTGTCTCAAAGCGGGTGCCGGGAGTGGTTATGTTTTTTCCACTTCTTTTTAGTTGTTTTAGTTTTACTTATATATGCGTAATTATAAATTTCCAAAGCGCAAAGTAGCCCTGCAGCAGCAGTAGCAATTTCACCATCCATACTCGTCAAGAGCGTGAACTAACTGTGAAGCAGGAGCGAACATCTGCGACTGTGGAACTGTAGAAACAGTTTTCGGGATTCGCACCGCGATCCGCACCGCTATTTCACGCCGTGATCCGCGCGTGGGTCTGGAGAGGGTATAATGGCTTCAAAATAATGTAGAAAAAACTGCTCTGTAGCCTGTAAGTGAGTGATGTACGAGTATATAAAACGTCACATAGGAATCTATCGGCGCTGACGGAATCGTCAGTAAATATCGATGAAGAGGGAGGGTCCATGATAAATTTGAATTTTTTGGTGGGCTGAAGGGGGTGGGGGCTCAGGATTTATGTCCAGGAAGAGCACCGTCTCGCGGGGTATCGGCAAATTGAAAAACACTTTCGAAATTTGATTGAACTTGGATTATTCATCATATGCAAATTGAGAAACAAGTTCGAAATTTGATTGAACTCAGATATTTAGAGGGGATGGGGTCTGGACGCCCAAGACCCTCCCGCTGGATCCGAAACTGGTAGGGACCACAGTAAATACTTATCTTGTGACATTCGCCTGAAAAACCTATTTGTTTTGCTGCTGTTTCCAGTATACCGTGTGCTGCAGCAGTTATTTCCAGATCTCATTTCTTTCACTTCTCAGAAACATAGCTACTTGGGGCATTATTTTCTTACACATTATTCTGTTGCTGATAACACTAATACATACCATTACTGTCCGCGAAAGAAAGAAATAACGCCAAAATCCAGTGAAAATTGGGTAACTAAACATGATGCTTCCGTCCGTCCGACCAGAGAGAGCTACTTCTGTGCTTTTCGACTATTCATCAGCATGGTCTAAGCTTGGTCTCTCGTCGCTGGGACAACGAACAAAAACATCGCAACTATCCTCTATCCTGGACGTACGGACTATCGAAATAAGACAGTCATCTACCAGTCACATGGCGACTGGGCTATTAAACGCAAACTTTACAGTTTCAACAAATAACTGCTATGCACTCTGCGCAGCGGTTCATTTTGGTGATAGATGGCGCCTGGCGCTGTCTTATTTCGAAGAAATACATAACTTGCACTTCAATTTTTTGCATAGAACTGAAATATTTTAACTAAAAATACCATTTCAAAAGGTGTGCGTAGATTAAATGAGGCTCAGTAGTTTTTCGTATACACATTGGCACAGCTCATCGCATGAGGACCCTGTACTTACAAGTTTAGTGTTCGTCGCTATTTCTGGCACAATTTCCCCTGTATTTCTAATAACATTTACGTGTTGAATTCTAAAATTAATGTGGATGGAATTAACCGACAGGTAGGTTTTGTTTTTGCACATTTTTTGATGTATCTGAAACCATTCTAATACATAGTCAATGTATAAGGAAAGAAAGCAATCCCAAGAGACGTTCTGAATGACTAATTGATTCTTATTTCAGAATTATTGATGCATCAGACAGATAGAGAGAATGTATAAGATCTTCAAGATATTCTCCGTTATTCTAAGGATAATTCCATAATTGTCTTTTACAAATAATATTCACATATGCCGTAGTCAATGTAAACACACATATCATTTTATTTCCACGAACTGTAAACACATTTTTAATTGACAACAAAAAGAAATAAAAAAAGAAAAATTCAATGAGGAAGCGAATACTAAGTAACCGATCAGTCCGCATTTCGTTCTTGAAAAATATGCTATATATTTCGAAGTACACATTACAGTAGTAGCTTCTTGCGCTACCGGCGAGGTAGTACGGTGAGAAATTCCTGAAGACCGGTCCCCATATGTCGACTGTATAATTACTGAAGGTACCGGGCACTTGAGATTTGTTTGCTCGACTAAAATCCTAAACAGAACAAGGAATTACTTATGCTAATATACTAGGCGGCATATAGGCGTGGTACTTTTGATCTTTGGAAGCTTGATGGGTAGGTATACGGCCATTTTACTGAAATGTTTGTAGCACTTTGATAATATTAGCTCAGCCTCGCATTTCTAACAAAATACTGCACAGAAGCCATAGAAACGCTCGGTGAAATTGCCGAGCTGATAGCACTGTAATAAAAAAGTGTTCATTGGACCTAGGTCGGGAAAATCAGTTTTCGGTCACTTTTATAATTATAGTAATAATGTGCCTTTATTCAACTTTGTATACGAACAAAAAAAAAAGATAAAAGAGTAATCTTGAAAACCGCAAAAGTCCAAAATTGAAAAGGTGGAGTGTTACCCTAGGGATATTCATCAACTAAGCCTTAAACAAAAATTGAATCTATATCACGAACATATTTAAGCGAAAAACCAATAACAAAGATATAGTTATATCAAATAAAATATAGAATGCAGCAAAAGAACGCCTCCGAAGAAAAGTTTGAACGAGATTAAATTAATCCACTTAGAATATATTTTGATTTTCAAACTATCTTGAAGTATTTGAAGTACGCTGGACACATGTTAATGTACGGTTGTTATCACTAAGATTGTTGCACCATCACACCTCGTATGAGAGTATCCAAAAATATTGGATGAAATAGTATATTAGTTTCAAGTTCTTCACTATTATTTTCAATAACCATCATATTAATTATCATTTAAATAGTGCCGTTCAAAAGAGAGCGCCCTTTCAGGACCTGTGTCCTTTTAGGGGCGACCTGTACAGTACTTTTTATGCAAACTAGCCTCAATATCTTCTTATTGTAAATTTTAATCTAACAGTGTGCAATTTTGAACTTCTACCACTCATTTCTGACCGAAGACTGAGTCTCTGGAACAAGCTCCCATATATACTTTTTGTCACCATAGTGTGATATATAGATTTTACAGACACCCATTCAATTCTATCGAAAGTGCGGGGTATTTCGAGAGCAGTACTTTTACTCATTAAACAATTTTGTTCATGATTTGATATCAAAGATAAATATTATCATTACCAAAGCGGCTTGGGGATCATATATGACAGACGTGTTGATAGTGACCGTAGACAGACCGCGTTTCTCCATTTAGATCAACGGAAAAGGGCAATTCAGTAAGGTGTGAAGTCATATTAAAACTTTATAGTTGCTTTTCACCATGATCAAAGCTAAAACTATTAATGTGGCAAGTGCTAACGGTACTAGAGGTAGAACCGCCAAAAGTCGCATGGGTGTGATCCCCGTACTGAATAGGCGACCTACAATTGTAGGAACGACTGACGATACCTATAGTTTTTTGTGATAGAGACGGTACTACCTCTTAAATTTCGACGAGACTATACATCCTGTCATACTAAGCACAGAGGGGGTATCTGCACCTAACAAAAAAAGCATCCAAAGTTTAAACCTTTGATTCATTTATCAAACTCATACGTAAAACAAAAATATCCTATTATGTGTTATGCCCATAGAATTTTGCCAATGTGTAGAGAAAATGACACTGATCTACTAGATATTAACAACCAAATATGCCCGAAAATTGCAGATACCCCCCTCTGTGCTTAGCACGGCAGTATACCTGCGCATACATGTTACTCCTCCAAAGATCGCAAGTTGCCTCAAGAATGTCCCAAAATTTCTATGCGCATTCACCATATTTTGAAAACATGACCTAATACTTTAACTTAAAAAAGGGTGGGTGTGCGATGAAAGTTGTACAAGGATTGTAGTTTATTTAGCATTTATGGATCAACTAAAAGTTATAATTAACCTAATAACGAATGTATTAGATGTGACTCAATGTTTTTGAAAATAACCGGAAAAATCTGAGCTTGTGTCACTGATGTCCGGAATCGTATTGGTTTTAGAATTGGCAGTCTTGTAACCGTCAGGGAACTTCTTATTACTTTTCTTGAACTGTTTATAATCATTTCACATGAAGATTTCCCCCACGTGTGTACCTTCCTTAACTTAATTGCGGTCACGTTTTCGATACACCCCGGTACCGTATAATAAGTGTACCTACGCACATGCATATACACATTATCATCCCGTACTCGTTTTAAACTGACGATATAATCTGTCCGATATGTATCAGATGACATTGCCGCCGTACTCCTAAGTCCACAAGACAGTCAATGCGGCAATCCACTTTGCATAGTACCGTTACCACTGATCCGTATATTCACTTATATACGAGATAGCGCCCTGATGCCGGACAAGTCCCATTGCATGATGCTCTATCGTTATTATATTTAGGTATTTGCATTGTAATTGAAATACGACGTTTGACGAGGAACAATAAGAGAAGGGTCCGGCATAAAATTAATGGCAAGCGGGTCCCACTCCTTCGGACTAACTTGACTGTCATGTTTTTTTATGAAATATGTAAGCCGAATAAAACAATCTAAAAGAAAACTTTAGATATGACTTAACTAAATTCTTTATAAACTGCCCTATTATATATAAAATTATTTTTCCTTTCAATAATGGGTTCAACTGAAAATACTAAAACTAAAAGCTAGTTCTTTTTCTGTGGGTCAAACACGGTGCTAGTCCTAATCTTCGAATTTTTTAAATTTAAACACTCAAAGTGTTTAATGATGCATTTTTCTCAAAAAATCCGAAGTTTCAAACATATACAAAAAACTACTCAAATGAAGATAAGTTCAAACCAGATGAAAATACACAAAGGTGTTGAATACAGTAGAGTACACAAAATAAGAGCAACAAAAAATAGGACAGTGAATTTTTTTATACTGATGCAGCTGCACAGGCCGACGCCTAAATACCAAGTTACCACCTCTGCCATGAGGAGCTTAAATAAAGTTTGTTAGTCGATTTTTGAACTGCCTTATGTTACTAGAACTGCGAAAAGCTTCAATCTTGGTACCATAGGGATAAAGGAGCAGTCGTATCGGTCAGTTCTGGATGTATGAAGTTCGACATGGTTAGCATGGGAGGCCCTCCCTGGCAGGCAACCGAGCGGCGGCAACATAGGGAAAGCTTTAAAGAGCAAAGCTCGTTGACATTGCGGCAGAAGAGAGCCAAATCGCTGAAGGCCCGTCGGTGCGAAAGGGTCTCCAGACTGTCCGTTAGAGAAGAGTAACCGATCAGTCGGACAGTCCTTCTCTGAACAGCATCGAGCATGGATAATGTAGTCGAGGCGGCAGCATCCCAAATATGTGAGCAGTACTCAAGGCTAGGTTTTACCTAGGCCTTGAACATACGGGGTTATCTCATCTTAGCACTAAACAAATAACCTAGCTTTTTCTCAGTATCTCCGGCTATTGATGAGATGTGTTCGTGCCAGATCGGTGATCTGGACCAACCGAAATGAACGGTTCCTTGGTAGAAGTCGGCCATCCATCGAAGCCTATTGAACGCCGTTTCTTGTTAGTAAAGATATAGTACTTACTGTGTTTTGGAAGCATTAAACTGTACCGGACTGTTACGACCTCTAGGAGGGATAACCTCCAGGAGTCTCGTCAGAGAGGAAGTCGCTGCTAAAGAAAGCCGTTAATATGTAAGAGGAACCATGTCGGAACCAAGACCGATTCCCGGGAACAACCCGCATCGACAGTGTAGGATGAAGACGATAACCTGTCAATTACGACTAATATCTTGGCTAGAGAGTAATTCTGCAAAGCTTCTCTGAGAGGCCAAAGGATGGATTACGTAATAGGGCAGCATGCCATCGTAGACTTTCGTGATAATAAGAGCAACGACATGTGTACTTGTGCCTCACCATAAGGCCGGATGAGTTTAGCTCACAGTTGCGTGACGTAAGCTAGTAAGTCCCCCGTTGATCGCTAGTGCTGTATACCATGCATACTGCCTGTCGCTAATTAATCAAGCCGTAACGTTCAAGGTACTCCATGGTACCGATATAGTTTGTGGGTTACAAGCTTGTAGGATACTATATGGAATATACAAATATTTTTGAAACAAGATGTGACTGAGCAAATATAACCCAGTCTGACGACTGCTTTACCTACTTGTCTGCACAACAAAGGACATGTGCAGAGGTTCAATGCTTTTTTACGTGGTTTCCATGGACTACAGAAGGTTCAGCAAAACAAATTCTGACTCTGAAGCAGTCTCGCTATCTCAAAGTAGAAGTAGAATCACAGTTTGAATTGCAATCTGACAGTCTCAGTTGCATAGAAGGGTGCGGAAAAAAGCTTTGTTAGTAAAATTAGCCATTGACCTCATAATACTGTAATTGCAAAATAAGTATAAAACACAGAAAATCAAATGATTTGATTTGGTATGATCCTTGTCTAAAAAGTGTTAGAGTGTATCCTCCTCAAAATGATGCTTCCTGAAAAAAAAACCGTTTGTGCCGCTCATGACTTAAACTAATCAAAAACGTTTATATTTATTTTACAACCCAAATGAACTTGCATCGACAAAGATGACTGTTTCAGCTCAAGTAATGAAATTGGATGCGACAGGAAGGAAGCTGTCACCCAGAGTAAACATATGTTTTTAATAAATCAAACATTTTATGCGAATGAATGTAAAAATGTTGTGAATGAACTTCTGGCCATTGATTAGCCAAGTGAATTAAGTAGGACATAAAATGTGATTTTTATTATGTCTCACACATTTTTGCTAAGAGTCTGACGGAGTTACTTCCTGTTGAAAATAGGTCATTACGTACATGGTAATGTCATCAATTTTGTAGGAACCA